TAAAATAATTAATTTAAAATCTTTGTCTAGTCAGCTCAGTGTCTGAACTTTCTCAGAGACAGTTTCTGTTTATTTCTTTTTTCTTTTCTTTTTTTCTCCTTTGTACAGGTTATACTTTCTTATTTCTTTGCATACTTCATAATTTTTTGTTGAAAACTTGACATTTAAATATTATAAATAGCAACTCTGGAAATTAGATTCTCCCCTCTCCCTGGGGCTTTTTGTTGCTGCTTGTTCAGCAGTAGTAGTTATTTGTTTGTTTAGTTCGTTTTTTGAAATACTTTTTTCTAGCTTGTATTTCTTTGTTGTGCATAACCTCTGAAGTTTCTATTGTTTGCTTAGTAGTCAGCTAGCTATTTGACAGGTATTTCCTTAAATGCCTGGAACCAAAATATGAATAATAATAATAATAACAAAACAAAAAAAATCAGAGAAAATCTCCCAGTTTTTGCAGATGAGCTCTTTGTATATATTAGGTCACACTTCAACACTCAGCCAGGCAATTTATAACTTTTCATTAGCTTTCACTTCCTGCTTGTATAGAGCCTCAAGTTTATCCACAAGTGAGAGAATAGAACCTTCTCAGGTCTTTTCTGAGGATATGTTCAGCCCTGGACATAAACCTGAACATAAACCTGACCTTTTAGAGTCCAAAGGATACGTGGGAGCTTTTCAGAGTCCTTATGCCTTAAAGTACCTCATTCCATAGCCCTCACTCCCAGGTTTTTCACTTTATCTATTTTTTGTCCTGTTTTTCTGTGCCCAGATGACAGTGGCTAATACATTTGCCTTTAAATATTTGAACAAACACTCCCCAAGGAATAGCTGCCTCAACCCTGGGAGTATTCTGAGTTAAGTGAAATAAAGGCAAGCCCTTCGAGTGTGTCCTTCAATAAGCCATAAGATATTTCAAAACAAAAAAAAAAAAAACCACAGTTCTTTCAGAATAAGGTTTGTTTTCCCTCTGGCACTACAGACCTGTATTGGAAATGTGGACTGTTGTCTTCAGGACCACCTTTTTTGTTTATTTTTCTTGATTAACCTTTCACCTGGTTGTAAACATTTTATTCATTTTCAGAGTTCTGCTAAAGTTCATTCTGGCTGTTTTTACCAATTTATTTTCTGCTTTAGTAGAGTGATGGAATTTTGGATTTCTCTGTTCTGCTATTTTCACTGATGTCACTCAGGAAGGATTCCTTTTAATACACGAAAACCACTAAACATAAAGGAAAATATTGATATATTTAGCAACATTAAAATTAAAAGATTTCGTTCATCAATAGTCATGATAAAGTAAGGTAAAAGACAAGCTACAGAATAGGAATAGATATTCACACTATATACAATTGATAAAAGACTAGTTATCCAGAATAAATACTAAAATCTAACACTTTAGTAAGAAAGGAACAACCAAATAAGGAGAAAAAATGGGCAAAGATTTGAATGGGGACTTCACAAGAGAGAAAACCTAAATGACTGATAAATGTATGAAAAGATGGTCACTCTCACTAAGAATCAGAGAAAGGGAAAATAAAACCATAACGCAATAGTGTTACACACCCACCAAATTTTTTAAAATGAATAATACTAACAATGCTGTGTAGAACTGAATTGTAGAATAAGAGAAACTGTTCTTTGTGGACAGATGTATAGATTGGCTTAACCAACTTAGAAATTTCTTAAAGAAGGTATTCATACCCTATAACCAACCATTCTATCCCTGAATGTGCATGTGTATATACATATCTCCCAGAAATTTACTCACATGGGTATCATAACACCCATGGGTTGTGGCATTTTTCGTAATGTCCTCAAAATGAAAACAATACAATTGTCTATCAACAGAGTGATCTATATTCACTGGCTCCTTCTCCTTACTTCCAGTTTTTTCTTGACCCCTTGTAATCAGGTTCTATCTTCATCAAATAATGAAATTTTCTCTCAGGTAACTAATTACTACCATCTGTTCTTCATTGTCTAATTCTTCCCCATTTTTCTAGTATCTGTCTTGACATATTCTTCTTATATGCTCTTCATCTTTAGGATCTCATTTATTTCTGTAACTTCAACAACTGTATATCTGCAATAATTTCTAAGTCTGTATCTCCAGCATAGGCAGTTTTTTTTTTTTTTTTTTTTTTAACATTGGGGCGAAGATTTGTTCCAGACTATGTAGTGAAATTGTAAATTTGTGTTTATTGATATTAACTGGATCCACAATGGTAATTGAAAATTCTTTTGCTTTGTCCTTCATTTTCATTCATCAATGCATTTTTTGAGAATTTTACTGCTCTCCTAAAGTTATCTTTACCACTTTTACTTCCCCTTATTCTCATCAATAAGGCCTCTCCTGCAGTACCAAAAAAAATAGTAGTAATAGTAGTAATAAATGTCTGTCTCTTTTACCCACAATTTACTTCGCTTTATCATGCCTACTCAATTCCTCAATTTGCATCTATTCTTTTTAACTTTACTGGTAATTTCTTTAATAACTGGATGTAATGGCTTCTTTTCAGCTCTCTCTCTCTATTCCTATTTTCTCCCATATTTGTTTTTTTTTAAATCTTGCAACTTTCTTCTTTTTTTCATTCCCTTGATACTCACCCATCTCTACTTGCCTCTTTTTTCTCTAATAGTTTCTTATGATAGGAACACCAAATAATTTATCTTCCGAACCAGAATGCTTTTGAAAATGAATGCTGTTTAATAATTAAGCCAGCATAATAGGTATAAACCCAGATTGTTCAAGGAAAAATCAGACGTATGGTTACCCTATATATCCTTATCTTAGAGATCTTATCTTCCTTCAGTTTGTTTTCTTAACTCTTAATATGAATGTTACCTCAAATTTTCAACCATTGTCGTTTGTTCTTTCACATATTCTCTGCAGGTGATCTGACACATTTGAATGACTCAAATTACTACCTCCATTGATAATTCCGAAATTACATGTCCTAACTTTTTCCTGAGTTCCAGACCCATATACCTCATCAAATAGCTCCAGACTAGTAGCCCAAAAATACCTAGCCACAAAATCTAAACTTATCTTCTCCCTCAAATATCCTGATTTTAAATTTACATTGAGGCATATATATACACAGAGATATGTAGTGTATATATGCAGTTATGTGTATAAGTCTGGAGATATATATCACACACAGAGAGACATTATTTTTGCAGTTGCTTCATTAGATACTAGACATACAATGGTAGCAAAACACAGTTCCATCATGACAGTGCTTTCTAATTTGGGAGATAGACGTTGATCAAAGTATTACACACATAAATGTTGTGATACTTTGTATAAGTATGGTCATTGCTGTGAAGGAGAGGGATGTGATGGCATGTAAGGTATTATATGGGCATTTTACCTTCTTTTAAATACGTGGCCTTTTTAATTAGATAAGTGGCAACAAATAGCTCTTCAAAATTAGACTTTATTTCTTGGACATATTTGTCACAATTCAGTACTCAAATATGTTAGCAAATGGAGTCGTCTTGCTTCTCAAAATTCCTACTACTTATGGCTATGTTGTTTATAAACCACATAAAATTGCAAACACTGAAATGGTAGCAATATCTTTGGAATTAAGGATGTTGGTATAGAAACTAAATAAAGGAGATTCTATAGAAATAGCATTAGTTTTGTGAGACAGAAATGATGCATAATATTAGGAAAACCTTTTAGTCACGAAGTCTGGCTGTTTCTCTCTTCTTTTCACATAGTAAGTGATATTTGTTGATTAAATGTTAATTGCTTGTTTTTTTATCATATGTTTCAAGTCTTGTGCACAAAATTTGAAAGTCCTCATGTTCCCATTCTTAGAACACTTATGCCCATTACTGGTAGCCCAGAACATGAACTAAATTATGCAAATCCTAAAGTAATAAATTTATAATCAACATATATTAATAATGTTAAAAATAATCTACAGTATTAGTCTTTATGTTTGTATATTTTTAGAATAGTGACAATTACATCAGTCTTTACTATGATGATAGGTAGAATAATAACAGTAATAATAACCAACACTTATTAAATATTTACCACTTGAAAGTGCTAAATAATTTACACACATTATTTTACTTAACCCCTGCAGGATTCCAGTGAGGCAGATTCTATTGTTATCCTCAATTTTCAGATAAAGGAAGTGGCAATTCAAAAGGTATATCCATCAGGCTCCTAGCAGAACTCAGATAGCATGCTTAAATAGGTAATTGAGGAGAGTTCAATAAGAACCTATAGAACGTACAAAGGTTTGAATAGAATTTAGGGAAAACCACAAGACATCATGGAATGCCTGAGACTAGTAACAGTGGGAACCATTAATGCTCCTACCTAATGGGGCAAAGGGAAGGAGTGCTGTTAGAATCTAGAAAAAGAGCTATAAGCAAGAAGGGCAGTCTGACACAAGCTGTGATCTTGAGTTGAGTGACACAGCCAACCTATGATGACCTGGTAGAGAGGGAGCTAGGAGAATAAATGCCAGACCTTACCCTATCCCAACTCACAGTCTTCTGCCAGTGCCTTCCACTGACTGAACCCAACTGGAAGCCAGGGCAGAAAATAATTTGTTGATGGTGTCCATACAGGTCAGCTTAGAGCAGAGAGGGTGAAAATGGTTGGAGACTGATCTAAAAAGGAAATGGAAAATATCTAGGAATTAAATAGCTTGCTCAAGATTTCAAACTATTAAATGGCATAGCAAGTATATGAATGACAAATCCTTTATTCCTAACCACAATACTATACTGCCTCTCATATTAAAACGTTTTTAGGAAATGGTACTTGCCAGGGAAAATACTTTAAATCTGAAAGTTTCTATTCTATCTCAAGTTGTTGGATGCATTTATACCTAACAGTAAGTGACACCAAATATGTCAGAGCTGAGCAGCAAAGAATGCTAAAAAAAAAAAAAAAAAAAAAGTGGGGAGGGTCTTGATTCTACATGTTATTGGCATTTTCAGAATATTAAACCATAGTTGTTCCCCTTGTTCAGATTCCAGACTCCATCATTTCTCGTGGTGTTCAGGTGCTCCCACGAGACACAGCCTCCCTCAGCACTACTCCTTCAGAATCGCCTCGTGCTCAGGCTACATCTCGCCTCTCTACAGCTTCCTGCCCAACACCAAAAGTAAGTACAGTTGCTTCACACCTTACACCTACTCTTCTATAGTAGTCTGGGAAAACTAACCAGTATTTCCTTCTGCTTGTCAAGGTTGGATTGCATGCAAGTTTACACTATGAAAAATGAAAAAGTGTGAGATAGTTCCCACCCATTGTGTCACAAATTGTCATATTAGGCCAATAGTAGGACAATACAGATTCCATTCAAAATGTCTTACTCCTACATCATAGCTAAGGGTATTGCTTTCTGTAGCTCCTGTTTCTTTGTTGTAGATTTGTTATTTTTTAGTATACTTATCATTATAGATGTAAATTTATTTGTTTATGCTGAGGATGAAAGTACTTTTGGCCAGTAAACAGCAAGATTAACAAAATTGTGTCACCAAAGGGATTTCTTTAAACTTGTCCGGGCTGGGATAGCTCCCTGCTCTAGTATCATTCCAAATTTTTTCAAACATATTCATCTTGGAATGTTGCTGCCTAATATTTGCAAACAAATCTAAATTTATTAGAAAGAAAGTTTTAATGCCAACCTTTGGGAGAGGGAAGAAGTTTCTTAGTCTTTTTTTTTATATAATCTGTCACTGAGTTGTATAGGGTGGGGAAAGGATGAGACACTTCTATGCTGCTCACATCTTTGTGTATATGATAAATTAACTAGCAGACATTATTACTGCTGTGACTACTTTCTCCTGGAATGCTCCTTTCCTGATTAAGTTAGTCATTTGTGCTTTCAAGTTCTCTATGTGATTGATGGATGCAATATTGGTACCAAAGATTAACAGTAACATTCCTTATTATTTAATAAGACATGATGTTAGACACTAAATTTGTTCTAGGATTCTGACAGTTAATTTTTCAAATTATAGTTTTTTCCTCTGTCATCAAATTTAAGGACCGTATAGCTGTCTTCCTCAATTCCATCTTTTCTATCAGTTTTGTGAATGTTATAATTTAATTTGACTAGAAGGGATCTCAGTTTCTGATGTGAATAGTGCAATTTGTTTTACATTACATGTTACAATCTTCTCAGCAATGTTTCCAGTGTTACCATTGTATATCATTATTTTTAGATATATGTCAAAAATAACTGATACTAATTTTATCATTTAAAACACTGAGGTCCTAAATCTTCAATAAACATTAAACTGTAAGAACACTGTAGACATTAAATGTACGCCAATGCCATTTGGGTGCCAGTAAGCTACATTTTCAAATGAATTAAAGGAAAGAATTCTTAAAACCTGAATTAGATGGAAAAAATCTCGTCTATGTCTTTTATATTATTAAAACAAAGTAACTTACAGCTTGACTGCATTAAAATCCAGTTGTACCAGCTAAACTCACTTGTAAAGTCTGGAAAATATTTAAAACTAAAAGTTAAGTTCACTTTAAGATGTTTTGTTCACTGAATACTAAGACCTAAAAGCTGGGAATACAGAAGTATTCAAGGTATAGTCTCTTTTTTCCTTAATGATATGCTGAAATCATAAATATTTTTTGAAAATATTTTAAGCTAAATTTAATTATACATAGTTCTTGAGTATTTTTAAAACTTTGCAATTATATTTTAGTTACAAAGAGGATAGTAAATAAAATTTGAAAAATCACTTGGTACTTCCAAATTCACCAAAGTAAAATTCTGAAAAATAATAATGTTAATATTCTTTAAATTAATTTGCTTATTGCAGAACTTTAGGAGAGCAAGTGGCTTGTCTTGATATTTTTTCCTTAGTTAACACTTACATGTTCAAATTGACAGTGAATTCAAGAAAGCATTATATCTTTGTCTAGGAATAAGATTATATTTCTTTTAGATAATTTTTTTTTTTTTTTTTTTTGAGACAGAGTCTCATTCTGTCACCCAGGCTGGAGTCCAGTGGCATGATCTCAGCTCACTGCAAGCTCCGCCTCCTGGGTTCACGTCATTCTCTTGCCTCAGCCACCTGAGTAGCTGGGACTACAGGCGCCTGCCAGCACGCCTGGCTGATTTTTTTGTATTTTTAGTAGAGACGGGGTTTCACCGTGTTAGCCAGGATGGTCTCGATCTCCTGACCTCGTGATCCGCCCACCTCGGCCTCTCTTAAGTACTGGGATTACAGGCGTGAGCCACCATGCCCGGCCTTCTTTTGGATAATTTTTATCAGCACTAGAATGTATACCTCAAAGATAAAATTATCACTTTGGTGTGATTTTTAATATAAACTTTAAATGCTGAATTAGAATATTAATATAATAAAAGAAACTAATTTGAATATTGATATTTTAAAAGGAGTTAATCTATTCCAATTAGGCATCTGGAAATAATGTTTAAAAAATAAATTAAAGGACAGAAGGAAGTGAAATTTATCTTTCTAATTAGAAAAGTCTCATAAGTCATGAGACTGCATAAGAGAATCTAAACTAGGTGCTCTTATAAGTGCTTTAATATCAGTGACAGATATACTACTTGTCTTCATGGAGTTTACAATTTAGTCGTATATTACAGGTTGAGTATCCCTAATCCAAATGCTTGGGACCAGATTTCAGATTTCAGATTTTTTCAGATTTTGGAATATTTGCAGATACTTAAGCCGGTTGAGCATCCCTAATCAGAAATCCAGAATACTCCAATGAGCATTTCCTTTGTGCTCAAAAAATCTCAGATTTCATATTTTCAGACAGGGATACTCAACATGTAAAATAAACAGGTAGATAATCACTTTAATAATTACAATTTCACATTAATTTAATAATTATAATTGAAATACTATACATGCTAAGAAGAAATGAAAATGTTATGGTGGTAGAAAATAATAGCAGGGGAACTTCATTTAGATACAGTGAGTAGAGAAGACCTAACATTTCACCAGGGGCATGAAGAATGATTGAAAACCAAATATGAGCTTTTGTGCTATGTGAAGGTTTTAGGAATTATATTGATCAATAATGACCACTTTAAAGGCAAGTGTCACCAATCAAGAACTCTTTTTTTTTTTTTTTTTTTTTGAGACGGAGTCTCGCTCTGTCGCCCAGGCTGGAGGGCAGTGGCCGGATCTCGGCTCACTGCAAGCTCCGCCTCCCGGGTTCACGCCATTCTCCTGCCTCAGCCTCCCGAGTAGCTGGGACTACAGGCGCCCGCCACCTCGCCCGGCTAGTTTTATGTATTTTTTAGTAGTGACAGGGTTTCACCGTGTTAGCTAGGATGGTCTTGATCTCCCGACCTCGTGATCCGCCTGTCTCGGCCTCCCAAAGTGCTGGGATTACAGGCTTGAGCCACCACGCCCGGCCCAAGAACTCTTACACTAAAACTTTATTAGTATGTGAATAGTCTAATTCAGTGATGTCAACAGCCAATTTCAAATATCTATTCTTTTTTATTTAAATTAATGAATCTTTTTGCCTTTTCCCACTGAGTCAAATATCAAGACCATAGATTTTAGCACTGAGCTCTGTTCTAGGTGAATTCTTTATTTTAATTTTTTAGCGTAAAAATATGAGGCCGAGAAGTCCAAAAGCAGTTTTGGGGTTTCAAATCTGAGGTACCGGGTAGATGATAATGTTATTAACTATACTAAGGAATAAAAGATAAGTACCAAGTCTTGAGGGTAAAAGAAAAGAGTGTAATGCATCTTGATTGGGAATGTGTAATCTGAGGTATATGTGAAACAACTAAGGAGTGATATCCAGCACAAAATTGGAAATACAATTTGAGTTTGAAATTCTTATTTTTACTGCATCTTGATTATGATATTTATAACTTAGTACATATTAGTGTTAGCCAAATCCTGTAGAAATCCTTTCTACATTTCAGATTAGGCATGCACAGATTTTCATGCACAGAAATGTATGTGCAAACGTATTTTGTCTACATCAGAAATACAATATAGTTTTGAATGATCAGTACTAGAAAGAGCACTTGACTGATAATAGAAGATCTGGATGGAAATGCTTTCTTCTCTACTCATAACCACACTAAATTAAGCAAGTTACTTTACTTTACTGAGTTTTGTGTCTGTTATTTGACTCACCATCCTTATCTCTACAACAGTGTTTATTAACTCATTAAATAAGTTTTTGCCTGGTAGTGGAATAGCAACAGTGAGCAAGTAGACATTGTTCCAACTTCTACAAATAGATAGATCAGACTACTAAAAATTAAAGTATAATAAATGCTAGGATTGATTATCAAGAGTACATAATATTATAGAAATAGCTATCAGAAGCACTTAACCAAGTCTTTGTGAAAATGCAAAGGGTTAAATAACCAAGTTATGATTCAAAACTAACAGTTCCAACGTCTCCCTCTGTAGCTTTTTATCATTGGGCCATTTGTAAGCTGAAACACTTCCTGTCCATCCGCATGTGTTAATCTATTTATTTAGGTCAACAACTATAATAGTATAATATTATAATAAATGTTTCAGTATAGTTATATTGCAATATAACATCCTAAATTATGCTTTGATCGTTTAAGATTCTCCAGCTATAGTGAGAACAAAATCTATAAAAATATACCAGGTCTTGATTTCTTTTTGTTTTTTTGGTACCCTCATTACAACCTAATGAAGATAACTGTGTATTATCTTTTCTAAACAATACTTCATAGATTACATTTTCTCAAGCACATTTGTTTGCTGAAATGATATTGTACATAGGGAAAAGTCATTTCTCTTTTATATCATATATTTTCTTTTAATGAAATCTGACTGAAATGAGGAATGATTTTCACTCCTCTTGCTTTATGACAGTGAAGTATCTTTCTTTTTTTTTTTTTTTGAGACGGAGTCTCACTCTGTCGCCCAGGCTAGAGTGCAGTGGCCGGATCTCAGCTCACTGCAAGCTCCGCCTCCCAGGTTTACGCCATTCTCCTGCCTCAGCCTCCCGAGTAGCTGGGACTACAGGCGCCCGCCACCTCACCCGGCTAGTTTTTTGTATTTTTTAGTAGAGACGGGGTTTCACCGTGTTAGCCAGGATGGTCTCGATCTCCTGACCTCGTGATCCACCCGTCTCGGCCTCCCAAAGTGC